CGATTTGAGACTGGAGTTACACGAGTGTTCCTCCAGTTCACTCAAACCAAGGCTTTGATACCAACTTGTAAGACCCAAAAATTCAAGCCGATTTAAAACTTTTAAAAACATTTCAAACCATTAAAATCATTACAACTTTGTTTTCAAAATGTATAATATCAGAGTTTTTCCCAAAAACATAAACAAAACATGAGGAGCTGTACGATCACGCCTTCGCCTTGCCGCGATCCCCTGATGTACCTGAAACAATGACTGAAACTGTAAGCCCGAGAGCTTAGTGAGTTCCCCCAAAATACCCATACCCACAACAATACACATATAATCATAGACATCATACTATGGGTTCAGTCAACCATGGGGTTGGAATACCCCAGGACCTCAACCATCCGGTTGGAATGCCACACACTGTGGGTCCAATCATCCTCGGGATGGAATACCCCAGGCCCACAACCAACAGGTTGGAATGCCCACATATTACGAGTCCAATCATCCTCGGGATGGAATACTCACGGCCCACAACCAACAGGTTGGAATGCCCAGGTCTATTGGCTTTCGCACAAAGGAGATAAGCCTCAACCGCCAAACAAACATGCGCACTTATATAACAGATAATCACATAACAGTCTATAAGCAGACAAACCGATCTAACAGATCATAACAGCATAGCACATCCTATCTACCAGGATACTGATCTAACGGATCATACCACATAGCACATAATACCATCCTATTTACCAGGATACCGATCTAAACGATCATACCACATATCACATAATATTATCCTACCCTCTAGGATACCGATCTAACAGATCATACTAGCAAACATAACCAGATAACAATCAAAAGGGCCGCCTTGGTGCCTTAGACCCTTGAGTATAGTGAGGATAACTCACATCACAATGTCGCACTGAAAATGATAGGCTCAAACTCTTGAATCACCAACACGAACTCCACCACCTATAGTTACCATAAAACCCTTTTTCCATAAATTTCCAAATTACCAAAATGCCCCCAAAGGTCAACTGGTCAACCCTTGGTCAAAGTCAATGTCCACAGTCAAAGTCAACAATCCATGTTGACTCGACTCGTCGAGTGCAGTTCACTGACTCGTCGAGTCCTTCCTGAACTCGAGAAGTCGTGAAGTCCTTGGTTGACTCGTCGAGTTTCCCTATATCTCGTCGAGTTCATGCGTGTCCAAGGTTGGGAAAAACCCTAGCTGACTCGCCGAGTCAGTCGACTGACTCTCCGAGCCCAAGGCAATCTTCATCGGACTCGTCGAGTTGTTCATCAGCTCGACGAGTTCATAACCATCTTCATATGACTCTCCGAGTCGACCTTGCGACTCGCCGAGTCCTTTCAATCCATCATCCATACAGACGCTTTTTAAGCCATGAAGCGGCTCCATATTGCAGATCCAAGCTTTTAAGGCATGTGTATCACGTAAAGTTGCAAACTTTACGTGCATGCATGGCTCTAAAGGATCTTAATGACAAATCCAAGCTTACAATGGAGTTTTACACTCAAGGAAGGCTTCATACATGACCAAGCTCGAAACTTTATGAACCTAGAACCCAAGAAGGGTCCAGATCTGAAGTTGCAACTTCAGATCTAGCTCATACACCACAATATTATCATAACCAAGCCAAAATAACCCTAAACCTCACCTAAATGAGATCTAGAAAGAAATGAGGTAAAGGTGACGACTTGATACCTTCAAATGATGCTAACTGAGGTAGATTTCTGATCCCCACACTTTCCTTGCTTCTAGCCTCTTGCCCTCCAAGCTCTTCTTTCAAAGATCTACTTTCCAAAGCTTAAAACACACAAGAATGAAGCACCACAAGGATTAGGGTTTTCTGGACTCTCAAGGGACTGTAAAGAGGCTGAAGGAGGCTTATGATTCTTTAAATAGGGTGCAAAACCCCGGGATTTAGGGTTTCATCTGCCAGCTCCTACTCGTCGAGTCCTTTCTTGGACTCGGCGAGTAGGTCACTAAAATACGTGGACCAACCCGCTGCTAGTCGACGAGTAGGGCAACCAACTCGTCGAGTAGACCTTGGAATCAAAGAAATTCTTATTTAAATCAATACCTGAGAATCGGGGCGTTACACCAAGTGATCCAATTTTCTTAGCTATAGTCTATCCTCTGACTTTATGGTTCTAGTGAAGCTAGTAGAATAACCATGTTAATGCCACCGACATAGTATCTCTCCCAACCATACGAAGCTAATGATGATCTCAATGATGGATCGATACATGATTTCTACTACAGTTTCCTATTATCATGCAATATTTGACGAACGGATGGATGGTTTTTATACAAAAAATAGGATGAATCATTGGAAATAAAGATGGACGGTTGCAGTGAAAATGAAGATGGATTTTTTTGACACATGTGAGGTGTTTGCACAAATGTTTGACTGATGTTTAAATGTTCCCCAAACTATAGTTCCACCTATGGAGAAGTACAATGATAAAAATAGGGACCTCCAAATTGAAACACCCATCTTTTAGTTTTACATTTTTAACACTATTTTAAGGTACTTTTTAAAGTAAAATAATCATTTATGGATTCGATCCCTAAGTCAAGTTTCCATAAGCAACTACCACTACATCACAACGGCTTTCAAAATATGTTGCATCCTCTAATCCTTAATCGCTTCTAAAGCCTGAATACATATTAAAAGTAGTATGTTAGTCATTGATAATGCCTAATGAGTACTACCATGACTTCACCATGTTCGTAGTCAAGAACTAGCTCAATCATTGACCTATAGTTGATTACCAAAAATCCTTTTAAAACATTTAAACTCTTAATCTTTAAAACTCCTTTGAATCTTTAAAAAAATATTTACTCTTAACTCTTTAAAGGATTTATCATAAATAAATATTAAATTTCATCATATTATAAATAATGCAATGCAATATGCAACCACACCCATTCTCGTTCATCTCTTTGTTCCACTCATCGCCTTCTTGTTGATAGAAATGAAGTATATAACATAGTTATCACATAGTATCATATGTCACAAGTTCTCATCTTTCGTCTTAATCTTCTTGTGGTTACGGGTGAGCTATCAATATTCCACCGGTATCGTACAAGAGGTAGTTAGCCTCTAGTACAAGTGGGCATGTCTAGAATACCACACTGCATCTTGGGTTGTCTTAAGTCATCTTTGCCCATGGACTTTAGAGGGACACACACAAGCCATTTTCCCAATCATACATGAATGCACAAGTAATCATGCTAAACTCTTTTTCAAAAATCTCAACTCTTTACTCTTTATCAAACTACTTTATAAAAATCATTTTCTAGTAATTTACAAGTAGTTAAGCATGTAAATAAACACATGGAAAATAATTTAGTAAAAACTCTTTAAGTAAAATTTTTAACCAAAACATCATAAACTTGTTTCTTTATGAACATGTATTTGATACTACTCAGAAGAAACCTAAGCTATTCTTCTCTTCTTAAGTTGTGTGCACTTCTTAAACACCTTTTAATTTTCATTAATAATAAGTTATTATTAAATTGATAAAAATATCCCTAGAGGATTCATGACACATTAGACACCTTCCAATAGCTTATGCTCATCTTAAAAGCTCATATTTAAAATTTGGGAACAATCGGTGGTCAAATGCTATTTCTACAAAAAAAACAAAAAAACAAAACAAAACAAAAAAAAACAAAACAAAACAAAAAAAAGGTTGATATTTCCAAACAGTAGGTTCCATACAGCATGTGCAAAATTGCCTTGGATTTCCAAACGAGTCGTATGGAAACTATAGGTCCACAAAAAGTGCAGTTTTCTCATTTAGACATTGTACTTTTCATAAATGTCCTTGGATGGCTACTAAACTTCCCCAAATGACTTTTATAAACTAAACAAATGTTATTAACCGTAGATATATTCAATTAAGTCTTTCCATCATTTTGAATTAATCATTAAGACCTTTAGAGGTCACATAAGCGTTTGGGAAGCTTATATGGACAACAATTTTCCAACAAACATCTTAATAGTTCCTAATGACCAATTTACCAACAATGATTCATCTAAGCTCTTAATCCATCCAAATATCCTTCATTAATCATTTATAAACATTCATTTAATTCATGGATCATAGTCATTGGAATCCATGCAATGGAATTGAGGATTCCATCAATTCCCTTACAAATCTAGATCTGTTAGAGGTTGCTAAAATAAGTTTCCACCCTGAGTAGGTGGATATTCCCCTGCCAACTTGAAGACCAAGGTTGACATTATTATGTACTATATATTTTGATTAAGATAGATATAATTTTCACTTGTTTAATCACCTTGTTAGAGATCTCAGTGCTGATAACATGATATAAATTCAACATAATTTGAACAATATTAACAAAAATACGCTAAAACTTTATATAGAGAATGAATAAGATTTTTAAGAAATTGAACATTAGTAGAATGTATTCAAAATGGTGTATCTTCATCCTTTACATCAAGAAATATTTATACTAAAAATAACCCTATTCATGTATTATAAATAGTTAGAGATACTTAGATGATTTGATAAGAGTTAAAAGTTGATCATTGGTCCGTCCCTCATCATCAGATGCAATTATAACAATATATCATTTCCCTCTTGATCTAGTAAGGTGACAAATATTAAGAAATTCATTAAAAAAATCATATAGACATTAATATGAAGTCTCGAATTCATTGTCGCTTAATGATTAAAAGACTTAACAAACATATGTTAATCTAAACGCCACCAATTCTTTCTTTGTCAAGTAACCACGTATAAAACATTGATTGAAAATACAATCCTTCGAGAGGACATAATCCACAACACTCTCCTCAAGTAAAAGAAATAGTGTAGGTGGTCAATAGTGTGAAAACTCTAAACGATGTTTCGACTAATTAATGAAATAGTCAAAGAGGAACTAGTCTTTTCCCCATCTTGAAATAATAATTATAATATAATCATATGTATATATAACACTTCATCTTTGTCTCCAACTCATCTCTTTCCATTTCCTTTCTCTTCACTTTCCAAGAAATCCCTAATTTTGCATCCCTTTTCCCTTCTCAAATCCAATCTTTTTGAAACCCTATTCATCCAAACTCTGTGAGAGAGAGAGAGAGAGAGAGAGAGAGATATATGGGAAACTGCTATCCAAAACCTGTTAATAATCTCTCAAGCACCAATAATTCATCCGCAGGTATGCTTCTTGAATTTCAATCCTTCAAATTTCACTCATTTATTGCTGTTTGTCATTGAATTCACCATATTTTTGTTCTTTTTTCATCAGTTTTTCGCAGTGATGTCAAAAAGAAAGAACCCATGATCGTAAAACATCCATCCACGGCGGCTGAAGGTGGTAGTGACTCTGGTAGCGCCGCTAATGCTTCCGGAGAAACAGTACCACCGAGTGGGAGAATAGTGACACCAAACTTAAAGATGTTCACGTTCTATGAGCTCAAAAGCGCAACCAGAAACTTCCGGCCGGACACCATGCTCGGCGAAGGTGGTTTTGGGAGGGTTTTCAAAGGGTGGGTGGACGGTGAAACATACGCGCCGTCGAAGGTCGGTATTGGGATCGCCGTCGCCGTCAAGAAATCAAATCCGGACAGCGCTCAGGGCCTTAAGGAGTGGCAGGTTTGTTTGTTAGTAGTATTTGATAAATTAAATATCGTGTTCATTTTTTTATTCCAGTTGTTTTTATTGAATTATTCTATATTGCGTAACTAATTAACAGCATGTCAAAGAAGATACATGACGTAATAGATGATTATACATCGTTTTAAGTTGTACTGTGTGTATCGAAAGCAGTACATTTTCAATCATTCTTTTTTTAGTTGCTTTCTATATTCCTAATTCCAAATAAATATACACTTTTTTATTCGCAATGTACAGTGAACTAGAAGAATTATCTCTGGATTTTAAATTTTTTGGAATGTGAAACACTTGAACAATACAACTTAAGGTGCATGATGTACAAGTAATTAAAGCACATGTATATATGGTGTGGTGTGGGCATCTCACACTCACACCCACCTATTCAAAACTAGTTTTTTTAAGTTATTAATCTTAAATTTATTTGTATAGATTTGAAATTGTGAATTTGTTTTATTATGGTTGATGACTTGTATATAATATTTTTTAGCTATATAAAATAATTTATGTTATAATTGTATAGTATAATTTCTTAAAACATAAATTGTACATATATTTAAAGATATTGTGTTATACGTCAAATTTCTGTCATGTTGATCATATAACATATATATTATGCATTAAATATTGTATGAATTATTATATTTGTATATATATATATATATATATATATATATAAAAAACTAAAGCCTCAAAATTGTTATACTTAATATAAATATATTAGCCATGGTATGAACACCTCCTAAAATATTTTCCACACACATGTCATTTTTCAACATACACTTAATAAATTATTATTAATAATATAATATATTCAAGTAGTTATTTTTGAGATGGCGACCCTTAATTAATGGGTCAAAATGTTCATTGTCAAAGGGTTGACATATTACAGAGCAAAGTCTGGTTTGACCTCTTCAAATAACATGCGCATTTAACCCCTTAAAAGACTTTATATTTTTTCAAAATTATTTATTTAAATTTATGAAAATACATCATTTCATTGTATTAGTGACGTTTCTGGTGGAACTTTTACTTGAATAGTTATTCATGAACTCTAATATTCAATAGTTTTTTTATCTTGATCTTTTTGTTCATTAACTGATGTTAAATTTTTATATTTTATACAGGCAGAGGTGAAATTTTTGGGAAAATTCAGCCACCCAAATCTTGTAAAACTCATAGGATACTGTTGGGAAGATAGAGAATTCCTTCTCGTATATGAATATATGCAGAAGGGTAGTCTTGAAAATCATCTTTTTAAAAGTAAGTATTTATTTTCTTTTAATATATTATATTAATTTTTTTTCAAAGACATTAAGATTATAATTATTTAATTTGATTTTTAATTGGAATTTGCAGAAGGTGCAGAACCAATTCCATGGAATACAAGAATTAAAATTGCAATTGGAGCAGCACAAGGCCTAGCTTTTTTACATACCACAGAAAAAACCGTTATTTATAGAGATTTTAAATCCTCGAACATTTTATTGGACGGGGTTAGTAGAACTTTAGTTTAACTCAAATTAAAAATAATACTTCTAGTTTTTTTTAAACATTTTGCTGATGTTAATTTTATTTTCAGGAGTTTAATGCAAAACTTTCGGATTTTGGATTAGCAAAGTTAGGTCCCGCAAATGGCGAGTCTCACGTCTCTACTGGAGTTGTTGGCACTTACGGTTATGCTGCTCCAGAATACATAGCCACTGGTTAGTTCTCGTTCTCCAAGCTCATTTTTGATATCATGTTTGTTTATTGTATGTTTAGTTTTTTAACATTTATTTTAAACAAAAAAATCTTCAGTTTTTGAGAGTTTTTAAGATTTTTTAGCCTTTAATTTTTACGTTTTATATAGTAGTTTGTACATTTGAAAAAGTTACAACTACTTTTCCCGAACATTTTTACACAAATAAAAGCTCAACTTTCAACTTCCGGTTGTTATTAATTTTGCCAATTAATGATTCTTTAAATCAAACTTTAAAAGCATATAAATGCATATTGTTGTCAAGATTCGTATAATAAAAATATGATGACACATTAGATAGTTAGATAGTTAGAATAATTCTTTTCATTATCTTATCCAGCCGGCTATTTATTAATATGGTATTGTCTACAAAAGATATACGTCTCATTGATGCGACACAATAAACATGAATTTGCTACAAATATTGGGTTGTGTATTATAATTAAAGTTGCTACTACGTCAAAGTCAAGTAAACATAAATATCAATTATCGATCCGTCTATAAAAGTTGATTATAAAAAATGTAGTTAATATGTTCTTGTCACATAATGTCGTGTCCACTTAGATTAGTTCATGGTTTAGAAATGATGTTAACGATATAAATTTGTGATATGACTACAGGTCATTTATATGTTAAGAGTGATGTCTACGGTTTTGGAGTGGTATTACTGGAAATAATCACTGGTTTGCGTGTACTCGACACTAATCGACCAAGCTCACAACATAATTTGGTGGACTGGGCTCGACCTTCATTGCCAGATAGAAGGAAACTAAGGAAAATCATAGACCCGCGTCTAGAACAAGACTACCCTTCAAAAGGAGCCAATAAAGCATCCGAACTCATCTTGAGTTGTCTTGAACCAGACCCGAAAAACCGACCTTCTATGGAAGAAGTTGTTGTCATCTTAGAAGAGATCAGTGCTATCAAAACAAAACCAAAGGAAACAAATGTCAGAACACCCAGGTCTACGGGCCCACATAGTGATCGTCGTTATCAGTCAACGAACCAATCTCCATTCAATGCAAGGAATGGTAGAGGAGTTCGGGCTGATAACCGATCACCAATAAGATCGTATTGACAGAAAAAGACAATGAACTTTCTTTGTGGAGCACCCATGAAAACAAACCTCTCAAAATGTCTAGTACAACTCCAACATGAATATGCAAGAGGCCCATTGAAAAGAAGGCCCAATGAAAGGACCCACTTAGAGGTGGTATTTACGGCGGAAGAGTAGAGATTTGTGAATGGTCAAATATCTTTGTATGTTTATATATTTTGATTGTAGAATAAATTGTATACTAAACTCTTATAAATTCAATATGAGAAGTTTGTATTTTTAATAAATAAAACTCTCCTTTAATTTATACTTCATTTATTACTTTAATAGTTGAATGAATGAAATTTTATTTAAAACATGGTAGAAATGCAAGGCTCAAAATCTCATGGTAAAGAGCATGAAGTTTCTGAGTCATTTTCAAGATATAATTATTGAAAATGATCAAGGGATGAGTAATTCCATAGTAGCATGACTTAGTTTCCTTCGACTCGTGGGACCAGCAAGGACGACGTGTGGAAAGGGTGCTTGTTTGAAACAGCTAAACTCGTTGAACCTGATAAAATAGTAATTATAGCACATAAAGTAACAAAACGTTGGTCTATTTCACATTTGACATACAAAGAAAGTAACAAAGTAATGACTTAAAAATCCCCACATTTCCAAAGAAAATGTTGGCCTACTTTCACATTGGACCTACTAGGAAAGGAACAAGTTGTAGTATTGACTAAGAACTCCTGATTTTCCAATTAAAATTTTGGCATGCTTCCACATGGGACCTATTGAATGTGGAACCATAGAATTGATTTCAATCAAGGTTTGATCGAGTATCAAGAAGTGATATTGTGTTTATGTAATGAAAAATCCAAGTAAACGGTCTTTAAATCTTGTACAATGGAAAGTGTTAGTTTTGGAATATATAGTGGAGGGAATGATGCATATAAATAAAATTTTGTTATTGTATCCGGAAAAATAAATATTGTGTTAATAGATGCTTAAGATGAAATACTTGGATTCATTGGTAGTATAATATACTTAGAAATTATCCATATGCCATAAGATGTTAGACTACATTTACTATATAAATTATGAACGAAATAAGTTGTATGATAATTAAATGTTTGTAGTCCATGTCTCTCCATGACCACCGATTTCTTCCTCAAAGAGAAACTTTAGTTGGGAAGATATTTGTTTTGTTTGTCCGTCGTTGAATAGAGTTTGATTCTTAAGAGCACCCACATCGGTGCAATGTGGGGAGCTTGCAATACATGCCACATAAGAATAATTAAATAAATAAGCAATTAACAATTCATAAATGTGGGCCACTTTTTTTTGCAAGGCTTTCAATACTTGAAAGAAGTGTGTGGATGTGGCATATTAATATTATACAAGTGGCATTGCAAGTTGTTTGAAAGATGGCGCTGTGGATGGTCTTAGTATTAAGACCACTAGTTCATTTTTTGTTCCAAAAAAAATGTTCACTAGTTTTTTATTTCAAAAAGAAAAAAAGTTCACTAGTTTGATCTTTTACACACTAATCATATTGCGTTATCACAAAATGTCAATTAGTTTTTACCAATATTCTTTAAGTCATCAAAATACAAATTTGATAGGTAGTGCCACTATTTTTATAATGGCGAAATTTTATTAAAAACCTAACAAAGCGCTAAACAAAATGTTACATTGAATGAGCTTGAAAAGAGAAAATACACCACAGATCCCGGTTCATAGAATTTTACACGCCCCATGCTTCATCCAAACATAAGACAACGCCTTGATTTATGCTAAAAACACCAATGTGGAGGACGAATGACCATCAATGACCTTTGAAGAACCTACACGAAGTTATCTCCCACTTTGAGATTGATCACCAAACTATACTGTCTTCGAAAGCAAGCAACTCTCATAAATATTAAACCATGTCTCTTCTAGAGTCTATGTGTTCCACTTTAATCATTTAGAAGGTCATGTGAAGCTACGAAAGTCTTCAACTTCCCTATTGTCTATGTTGAATTATTTATACTAAGGATCTACTTATTGATAACATGTCAAACAATCAAACATATATTTGGATTCTTTGTACAACAAATCTTATTTTCATCATCTAATAAAATATATATATGTTGAATTATTTATACCAATGATCTTACTTAATGATAACATGCCAAACATATATTTTAGATTCTTTGTACAAAAAATCTTATTTAATAGGACTATACTTGATCATTAAACTGATGGAATGATATCTAATATGAATTGATGTGCTTCGTCCTATTATGAAGAACAATATTATTTATGAGATGAACTATCATGTTGTCGCAATAAAGGGCATTGTCTTTGTGTTTTTATGCCCAACTGTCATGGGAAGCTAATTTTCCTTCTATAATATATTCTTTCTTTTGATATATATATATATATATATATATATATATATATATATATATATATATATATATATATATATATATATATATATATATATATATATATATATATATATATATCATCTTTTGTGGTTGATATAACAACACTCTTATGAAATCTAGACATCACATCGATCTTTGTTTTTTAAATGTAAACTCATAACCCATAGTGCACTTACTATAATCTGAACAACTATCCAAATCTACATTTATAAACGTTCAAAGGGAAATCTCCAGAAAAGTCCTAAAACTTTACCCTAATTTACGAAAAAGTCTCAAATTGAATTGTGTTTACGAAAAAGCATGAATTACCGGTAAAAATGGCGGTTTGACCCCCTTTGCCCGGTTTACCGGTTTCATTACTTACATGTTTCATTAAAGTCCTATTATTTTATCCTAATTTACGAATAAGTCCTAAACTAAAATTTAGTGATGATTTGGCCCTTTTCTCTATGTAACATACATTTTACTGGTTTCATTGCTAACCTGGACACCTAGTCATTAAATGAGATGATGAGATGGATATGTTGAGTTATGATTTTGGCAGATTGATAAGGCCCGTATCAATGATTATGATTTTACGTATGGATAATTCCTCAATATCGTGTTCATTCGCAACAAAATATTTTCTTTTTTTGCGTCGGTAAAGAAAACATGTTTTTTGGGGGAGAGATACTATTTCAACAATCAAGTCACAGGTATATAACATATTCACACCTAAGGCTTTTCCACAAAGTGGTGGCGAAACGTATAACTTGTACAAATCTTTCCATTTTCCAAGTCGATCCAATCCATTTGCTCGTAGAGTTATTTACTCGATCGCAGACATTTCTGGAACACCTCTAACAGAGGGACAATTAGTCAATTTTCAAAGAACTTACTGTCAACCTCTTTCAGATATGTTTAGCATAAAACTTGATATTCTGATCTATTGTATATTCTTTTGGAACATAAAATGCATCCAACAAAGACTGCAATAATTACATAAACTAGCAACAACTGCGTTATTTTTTACGTTTATAAGAAATATCAAATTGTCTATCTAATCTTATGTAACCCAATATATCCATCTCATGAGACATCAACTCATTTTCTGCCCTTTTTTCTTGGAAACATACATTTTATTGGTTTCATTGTTGACCTAGATACATAGTCATAAACGAGCGGATGAGATGGATATCAAATTTTACAGTAAATGTAGCATTATATAACCCATCGTATCCATCTTATCAGCTAATTTAATGACTAGGTGTCTAAGTCAGCAATGAAACCGATAAAATGTATGTTACATGAAGAAAAGGGTCAAATCATCACAAAATTTTAGTTTGGGACTTATTCACAAATTATGGTAAAATAATGGGACTTTAGTGAAACTAGTAAGTAATGAAACCGGTAAACCGGAAAAAATGGGTCAAATCGCCATTTTTACCGGTAATTCATGCTTTTTCGTAAACAAATTTTAGTTTGGGACTTTTTCGTAAATTAGGGTAAAGTTTAGGACTTTTCTGGAGATTTCCCAACATTCAAATATAAAATTTTTCCTACAAAAACATAGGAAGTCTCATAGGTTCCTTTTAATAGTATACTATGCAAATTCTAATTAATATATTATTATCATAATATATTAACAAATTATTTCAATTTATTAATCAAATAATAAATCAACCTCCTTTCCCCAAAATCATCATTCCTAGTTGCTAGTCTTGAGGGCAACCCAAAACGACTGTGTTACTATCAATTCAAGTATATACCAATTATAGTTATGGGCTTAGACACCTAATCCAACAGTCTCTCACTTGGACAAGTCTAATAATTATACTTGCTAGTATAACTTCTAAATCGATCAGCAAATTGTAGCTCTCAAAGCCGCTGTCTAACTCTGACCTAGTCAGTTACGTGTCCTAAGATAAGTGATCATAGACAAATGACATAGAACATAAGCAATCTCATTGTTCAATACTGTGTTTCCCAATTTCCAATTTGTAATGACAAAGAACTACTAATCGAACACATCAATTGAGTCCTGGTCAGGCCCGACACTATAAGTCAACGCCAAATCATCGAGGGGTCCCAAGATATCACTTTTCCCCTTAAAGGCAAAAGGGAACAGATAAACTTTATCTTATATGCTTGTACTATTTACTCATCAAATTTTTCACAACAATACGTATTATAACATCAAGTTACTGACGCGTTTGCATATTATCAATGCACAACCAACTCGTAAACAACAACTCATATATTTTCGTTTAAAGATTATAAGATATTACCATCTCAGAATTACTCGTGATAAACTCCATGAAGTAATTCTCTGAGCGTTGGTTAATCCAATACTTAAATCTCTATTTCAAAGTACTCATGAATGTTGCAGCAAACCATTGCTATGTCTAAACCCTTTAAATAGTCTACAATCTAATTCATGACAGTCTTGATTCACTACTTATTTCTAAAATAATGACCGACTGTGGATGTTTGAATAATTCAATTATTCTGGAAGTAAAACATGCAAAATTGAAACATAATAATAAACAATTGACAAAAGATAGTAAACAATACTTATAATTAATTCTCCATTACTTAATCATCAGCATTCAATTACATTTATTATATCACAAGTTTCTAAACAACTATCTAACTACTAAAACTAATATCATCCTTCAGATCAATACTCCTAAAATGTTGGACGTGCTTAACCCTACTCAGACCCTTTGTGAGGGGATCTGTTGGATTCTCTTTAGACGATATACTCTTCATGACGAGGTGACCTTGTTCTACTCTATGTCTAATGAAATGGTATTTTCTGTTGAT